TGAGTAAAAATTATCTAAAATAATAATAAGAGAAAAAATAGATTATATAATAAGACAAATAATAAAAGTAAAGTAAAATTTCAATAATTAATTAAAAATGTTATAAGTAGATTTAATTACTCTCAAATTATTATTATTATTATTATTATTATTATTATTATTATTATTATTATTATTGTTATTAATATTATTATTATTATTATTATTAATTCAATACCTAAATAATTTTAGTTAATTAATTATCAAACTTTTCAATAAAGTAATTTAATATTAAATTACCATATTTAATGAATCACTTAAATTATAATTTATAGTAATTAAAATAATGATAATGATAATTAATTATTATTGATAATTACTTAAATTATTAAGTAAAAATATAATTAATAATTATAGTAATTATTAATAAAAATTACCATAATTTATGTAAAATATGCTACTTAATTAGTTATTTGAACTATTTAAAAAAGTAATTTAATACTAAATTACCATATATAATGAATTATTCAAGTAAAATATGAATAATTAAAATAATAGAAATTCAATAGTAAATTACTGTTCAATTAGTGAATTTACCATAATTTTGTTAAGTAAAATATCATAGTAATTAAAATACTTTCACATTTATTTACTTAATTRGGTAAAATAATTCCTTAGTAATTAAAATAACAGTAATTAAGATCAACCTAGGTCTAACCCTTAGAATTGAGCTTAAGGCCCAAGTTTGAGGTCAAGTTGGATCTGTCCAAGTTGAGCCTATCTTGCACTAAAATTTGATGCGCTCAGGTTAGGCTTGGGCCTAGGCCATCGGGCTTGGGTTAGTCAATAAGCACATACTAAAATTTAACCTATGTATGTATGTATGTATGTATGTATGTATGTATGTATGTATGTATGTATGTATGTATGTATGTATGTATGTATGTATGTATGCATGCAAATAATGCATCTATATGTGCATGTATTACGTGTATAGTTCAGCTGGGTTCAAGTTGGGATTAGTTTGGGTTGGGCTCACATTTCACATGGGCTAGACTTGGGCCCAACCCCAAAAATTAAGAAAGCCCAAACATTTACATCCAATCCCAACCTGAAGATCAAAAATCCAAGCTCAACCCATGTAAATTTGGGGGCCAATTTAATTTTAACTTGGGTTGGGCTTGCCCAAGTTGCACCCTTAGATATGGGTCCTTTTTGAATTTAGACACTATATATGAGTTAATTAGTTTGATGCCAATATGGCTTCATATGTTATACAACAGTTGTAAGTACAAATTATTTGACAAGCCCATGCTTTAAGTTACCTATTTAATTAGCCAACCTATTTATGTGGTTAAACAACCCTAATTAACTTAATCAAGTAGCATAATTATTAATTGTTATTACTAATAAAACTATAAAAGTTATAATTTTAATCCATTTAAATCATATTAAAAAATTATAAACATTTTTAAAACTAATTCAAATTTGTTAATAAAATAACAACAACAACAACAACAATTTTTATTAATTTAAAGTCCAATTAAATTACTAATATTATAAATAAATTAATTTATAATGAAATTAGATTTATAAATAAAACTAATAAAAAACAGTAATCTTATAAAACTAATTTTGCTATGATAAATTTATAAATTTTAAAACTAATTTTTATTAATCTAAAATATGTTTAAAATAGTTACATTAATAAAGCTTCATAGTAGGCTTATAGCTTAACTTGGCCCATGATCACACCTAATTAAGAATGTCATAGGGATCTTTTTACTTCACTTTCTCTCAAAAAAGTCCATACATAATGAAAGTAGATCATAGGGAAATAAAGATGTTAACCCAATAATTCATAAACTATTTTCCAACTTAAATTAATGACTCTTGAGTTTTCAAAATGTGTCACAAAAAATATAATTGAAAGACTACAACACGGGTTGAATTGGTATCGGGTTGAACCCAGTAAGGTTGTGTGGATTGGAACGGGTTTGATTCAACCCTTAATTGACCCTCCCATGCATGCTTCCTCTCAAATTTAACCCAATCTGACTCAATACCATGCAATTTCTAAACCATCCTTGGCTTATAGGGTTCAACTCAATACCGATCTAACTTGTCCCATAGTCTTTCAATTGCAATTTTTTTTTTGTAATACTTTTTGAAAACTCAAGAGCCATTAACTTAAGTTATAAAATTGGTTTATGGGTTCCAAGGTATCATTTCTCCAAAGTGAAAGAAAAAAAGCAAAAGAAAATAGTGAAATAAATCATATGCTTTAAGGTTACAGGTCTAAAGGCAGGTCAAATTACAAGAATACCCTTTATATCTATAGGAGTAGTATGACCCGATGGGTGGGATTAGCTAAACCTAAACCTGATTTGCGTTAAATAATCAAAATTATAACCTAACCCTACATTTGAACTAAGTTAAAACATTGATAGAAATCATAAACTTTAAGGTTATGGAAGTCAAACCAAATTACATGAATACCCTTATATTATGACCTAATGGGCCAGGTTAGCCAAACTTACACCCGATTTGAATTAAATAATGAAAACTCTAACTTGAACCTACACCCTAATAAGCTTGATCGTAACCTGACCATGTAGGGGTGAGTCAAGTTGAATTTGCCATTTAACTTAACCCATTGACATCCCTAACAAAGTTTGTGCATCACACAGGTACTAGGTTAATCGGGCATCAAGAATGATTTCTTACATTAAGTATGATTAGGCTTAGGTATTAGGTACCCTAAGATATAGAATTTTAATCTAAAATCCCAAATTTGTCTCAAACCCTATTATATGGTTTTGGTAAACAGGCCTTTAAGGGGTATTATTATGATAAAAATATGCTATATTGGTAAAACGGGATATTTTTTCTTAGTAAAATATAGGGTAAAAGACTTAAACCTCCCTTCATTTTCTTCTAAATACTAAAACCTCCCCTCACTATTTAAATTGGACTACTACTTCCCTTGTCTTAGTTATATCCTATGGAATCATTAAAAAGTCTCTTTTATCCCTAATAAATAATTAAATTTTAAAATAGTGGAATCATTTCAAAAAAATAAAAAAGGAAGCATCCCTTTCACTTCAAATTATCGTGATATCTTTTATCCTAATTGAAACTAGGCAACTCCACCCGCCTACTCACATTGGTTTTAGGTACATATCGTGATATCTTGCACTTTTAGATTATCTTGGTTACTAAAATTTTGATCTATTTAGATTATTTGTTCATTTATTTGTTTTTTACATTTCAAATAATGATTGTAAAGAAAGTTTGGCTCCGCCACTTCCTTTATTGAGAAGATAAAGGAAAGGTAATTTACTAGGGTTTTCATTCTTGGTATAATTCAATTTGGCTTTAAACCATTGAGATCAAATTGCCAAATGTACTCTTTCAATTGATTTTCTCAATCTTTTGACAGATCATGATGGGTTTGGCATTAACAATCTAATATTTGTTTTTTTATATTCATAAAAAATGTTATAATCATATATTGTGCAATGATCTTTACAAGTTTAAAAACCATTTGTAAAACACCCAAATTTCAGTTTTTGCAAAGTTTCAAAGATTGAATCTTGTTTGCATTGCCAAATCTAACTTGTGTTTGGAATTGTGGGCATTTATTTACTAAACATTTGTATTTGATTTATTTGGAAAACCAGAAAAAGCAATAATGAATCCATTTATTGGCACTTAAGCGCCACTAGGCGTCACATCAGCAAAATAGTGAATAAACGCCTACCCATTGAGGGAAGTGCTAAAATGAACCTTCCCCCAACGGTAGGCGCACACATAAATCAAGGCTTGCTTTTGCAAGTCTCTATGCGTATGGATTGTGCATAATGGGGAAATGCTGAAGTGGTGCCTATGTGGCTAGGAATAGCAACAGGGTGGGATCATATTCCTTGTCCCCACCCCCGATTCTGAAATTAACTCCCATCCCCATCCCCGATCCCCACTAGGGATAAAATTTGTCCTCCATCTTCAACCCAACGGGGATGGGTTCCCTATGGGGACCTGAATCCCCAACGAGTATGGCTTCCTTGCGAGGATCCGAATCCCTGATTTTTTTTTTAAATAATAGTATTTCTTTGAAAAATAAATTTATTTAAAATAAATAAAAAATTTAAATTATAAATAATATTTTAAATATGTTTTGATATATATATATATATATATAGATATAATATGTTTAATATAAATAACACACACATATATGTATATATATGTATGTATGTATGTATATAATCGGGGTCGGGGTGAGGCGAGGACCTCAATTCCCATCCCCAACCCCGACCTTAATAAGGGATTCCTATTAATCCCTATCTCTGCCTTATCAGGGATAGGAAAAACTGTCATCCCTATATGTGGCGGCGTTTATTCAATAAATGCCCACAATTCCAAATACATGCCTAATCTTGTAGTGGTTTCAACATCCATAGAATTATAGAAATATGAAAAAAATAAATACATCAGATTTGTTTTGATATCTTTTTCTTGCTTCACTATGAAAAGGGTAAAAATGATTTTTTGAAAAATATTTACATCACATGTAACCAAATCTTAACACAACTTACCATGGTTTTTAAAATTGACCCAGAGATTGAACCGGTCAGGGGTCCCATTATCGGGTTGAATGGTCTGACCATTCGAACTGAATGGTCGGCCCGTTCTAACAAAAAAATAAAAAACAATCAAAACCGTTCGAACAATTAATTGCCCGCCCGAGTCAGCGGTTTGCTGACCAAAATCAATGATTTTTGAAGAAAATCCGGTTTTGGGAAAAACTGAAACCGGTCACCTAACCGGTTCTCGGTTTTTCCAGTCCGGTCCGATTTTGAAAACCATGGAACTTACAAACGGTAGGTTTTAGTCATTTTTTGGATAGAAGGGAGGTTTTAGTATTTATGCGAAAATTCAAAGGAGGTTTAAAGTCTTTTACCTTACCATATTAGCCCCACACGGGTCTTAGACTGTTATGCAGGCTCGTGTACAGCACATCCCCCTCTCGTACAAAAGATCAACATCAGTGACAAGGGTTAGCTCGAGCTGTTGTTCCATTTTCATCAGCATCTGAAAAATAAAAGAGAGAGCGAAGGAAGGAGAGAAAAGTGTTCGATTCGATGGCGGAAAGCATGACTCCATCTGCAGGCTCATCATCGCATTCGTTCTTTCGGAGGCATTGGGAAGGTTGGAAAGAGTATTGGGGTGAGAGATTTGCTTTCCTCGATAACTACAGCCAGTTCGTCAAGCGCGATAAGCCCATACCCTCATGGTCTGACTCAGACGTTGAGGCATTCATCGCTTTGGATCCAGTCCACGGCCCTGTTGTAAATTTCTTCATCGATTCTCTTGATTTGGGTTTTATTCTTTGTCTTCTGCAGCTTTCGTTGAAAACTCTTGGTTTTGTCACTTTCTGCTTCGATTGGTTTATTTTGCTTTTAATCAGAGAATATCTACATGGGATTTTTTTTCCTTCTTGTGCTGGAAATGATTTTGTTTGTTTATTTGTTTACTCCTTTAGAGTTACAGGCTTGATCTGGTCTGGGCATCTAAATGGTTATTGTCTTGTTCTCTTGACGTGCTTTTATTGACGTATGGAATTCGATGTTTGAGATGTATGTTTTATCTTGCGCATCTAACCAACAGAGCTTACAGTTAACAAGGCTAATGGTAATCTAAAAGAACTTGATTTGGACTTTCTTGGATCAACTTCCACGACATAGATGGTCGCTATATGTTGACTGAACTGAACTACTGACGATATAATTTTGAGATTCTTTTATAGGTAATCTAAAAGAACAAAATAACTTCATAATTAGCTTTGTACCTGGGTTCGGTATTTGAGTTCTTGGTTCTTGGGCTTGAATAAGTTTCAAAATGTATTTCAAAATTTTATGCTTTATGACTTTATGTAAAGAAATTATTTTCCTATTCAATGCAGTAAATGTTCAATATGGGAAATCAGAGGGGTTCCCCACAGGGCGCACCCGACAGCACATCCCCTCCGTGTATTGGGAACATCTCCTGTACTTGTCATGAGGAGATGTTTCCAATGTGCGGAGAGGATGTGCTTGTGGGGCGCCCTTGTGGGGAGCCCATCAGAACTCTCAATATGGCCCATTCTATCTTTTCCCTTGGTTTAGTCGTTGGCCTTTTCTGTAATTGTGTAGCGAAGAGTGTATTAATGTATGAAATATCTATGCCTTCGTATATGTATGTAACCTATATTTTTCATCCCTTTGAAACTTGTTATGTTTTACGTTGCATTTTTAACATTTAACCATTTTTTGGGTGATGTTTCCCTCTTCCACTTATTACATATGGAATTAGTAATTACTAATATTTTCTTGATGTTGGTGGCTTCACTTTGTACAGCTTCTAGTTGTACTTTTCTCTTTAATGAATTGATACTTTACTTCTCAAGAAAAAAAATGTTGGTGGCTTCACTTCCTTTCTATTAGCATGGTTGGAAGGTTAAGTAGGGTTCTTCACTCAAACCCAAATAGAAGTTAAGTTTTGTGGTACAAAATGTTTGTGATACTCTGGTTAATCAACTCAATATTCTTTGTTCTTTCATGGAATACGGAATTCTACAATATAAGTAGCTTCTTGATTATCACAAGATTACTTTTAGTTTTTCTCTTAGAAGACTCTTCAATCATGTCAACTCACACACACTATATGAGCTATCATCTGATGCTCAGCATCAAACAATTATGGTTGTTGATTGGTGGGGTTGGGATTGGAGGCTAAGTATATATAGCCATTAATGTAGTTGTAGAAAGAGAAGTATATTTGATAGGTAGTCTCATTATAGTAGAGGGATGTCGATACTGTGCCCTCTCTGCTTTTGATTTGGTGGTTTGTGCCCCTAGACTTCGGAGTTATGGATTGAGTTGACTATGGTTCTAGTATTTAGTTTATAATAGACATTTCTGATGTTAAGATTGTATCATTTCTTGTGCACTGTGTTCTATTTTGTTGTTATTTAAACTAAATTTTACTTTTATTATCCAAATAACAAGTTAAATAAATAAATAAAATCTCAAGGGTTATGGGTTTAGATGGGACTTGAGGGAAGTGGAAATCCCCATGAGTGTTCAACTTCTAGAACTGGTTGAGGAAGTCTTGCTGGATCCTCTAAGGCCTGACTCTAGAGTGTGGTTACCGTGCTCCTCTGGATCTTTCTACTTTGATTCTGTCTACTCTCTCACCCTTCCCCTGGGTTTCTAGTTAACGAAATTTGGAGTGGGCTGGTCCCACCCAAAGTGAGGGCGTTTTCTCACTTTCTGGGAGGTCTTTCATGCTAAAATTAATGCTTGTGAGACCCTTAAAAAGAAGAGACCAAATTGATGCTTATCCCCCCATGTCTGCCTTATCTGCAAAATGCAAGTGAGGAAATTTTTTCCCATCTACTCTAATATCTTGTTCTTTGTGACTAGTATTTGGGAGTGGATTTTTGATCTATTTGGGTGCAGTTGGACTCCTCCACAGGATTTGCAATCTATTTTCAGCAATACATTCTTTAATTCACCCACAAGAAGGGGAAAATTGCTATGGCATTGCTGAAGAGCTGCCTTGTTGTGGACTCATTGGGAGGAAAGAAATGGAAGACTCTTCAAGGAAAAGACTCAAGATAGAAGAGTCCTTATTGATCTTATTATGGTGAGAGTGGCACAATGGGAGAAATCAGTAAGATTTTTCAGTCCTTTCACTACTGATGATATCATTAGATTGGGGGCTAATAGAAAACTCTTCCATTACTAGAGTGACTGTTCAACCATTGTGGGATCTGCCTCCACATCTAATATTGATGATTGCAGAAGAGGCAATCCTGGACCTTTTGGCATTGGGTGAGTCTTTGGAAATGAGAGGACAGTATTCTCAGCTTATATTCAGGTCCTGCTGGCCATGGAAATGTAGTTAGATCAGAGCTGCTTGCAGTTCTGCAAGGATTAAAGTTGACAAAAATAAGTAGCTATACTAATATCATTGTTGAAGGGGACTCAAAAGTGGCTGTGGATTGGATCAGAAATGAAGGGAAGTGTCCTTGGCAGTTTAGATACATCTTAAGAGAAATCAAAGAGCTCTAAAGGGACAGAGTAGCAGCAGTCCACTGGGTGTGTATAGATCTGCAAATGGATTGGCAGATGGGTTAGCAAAACAAGGAATTGGAAAGAGAAAATCTGTTTTTTGGGGGGGGAGGGGGGAGGGGGAGGGCAGGGCTTTAGTTTGTTGTATTGTAATTTTGGGAAGGAGCGGTACTCCTTTTAGTGTTTTCTTTTGGGTATTGGTTATCTTAATCGCTGGGATGACTGATTTGTTCATTGGGATGACTAATACTTTCTCCTTCATTCTAATAAAATTTGTTCTGCTATCCATAAAAGAAAAAAGAAAAAAAAAAAAACTCAAAAGGTTATGGGGTTGATACTGATGAGATGAAATGATCTTGGTTGTAGCTTACTCTCTTCTTGAGGATCCCTAGTTTTGATTTCAGATGACATTTTGCTAGTGAAGATAAAAAAAATGTTATTTTGGCAAATAAGTTAGTATATAAATAAAAGCTCAACTGATGAGATGAATGATTTTGGTTGTATCTTGCTCTCTTGTTGAGGATCTCTGGTTTTGATTTCAATCAACATTTCACTAGTAAAGATGATTGAATGCTTTCTTGGCAATTCCTAACTTGGAGTGACTGAACAACATATTAATTAGTCAATATTCTTTCTTTCTCTCTCTCTCTCATCTGTTTGTGTTCTTTTTCTCTTCTTAAATATGCATTTTATTGCTCTATTAGTTAGAAGCTAAAAAAGTTGTGTTGAGCAATTGCAATGACTGGATTGATTAACATTCCTGATATTTAGTTGCCATCAGATGTAATTATACTTGATTCTGCAGATTTGTTTACATCTTATTTATTTGAAATATATTTTAACAGTGAAAGTTATTTGTTTTTCTCTTCTTTTTTCAGCTGAAGACAGCTAGGGAAGCAGTGAAATTTGCTGCTACAGGAAGCATTATCGGAGCAGTTTCAACAGCAGGTTTTGCTTGGAAATATTCAAGGAGTCCTCATGGTAAAACCGGAGCTTAGCTTTCCATATGATTTTATGGATTCACTTAGGAGTTTTACACTATCAAAATAGAATGTATTTGGTTGGGAATTCCTCGAAGACTTCTAATTTAAGGTATCTGTTTCACTGGTTTAAATGAGGAAAATACATGATACTATAAAATGTTAAGCGAGGAAAATACATATGCTCCTTAGGTGGACAGCAGAGGTTGTCCAAGGGTTTAAATGGGTAGATTGGAATTTTTGAATACTTTTTGCTTATGCGATTTGTAAAAGGCATTACAATTCACGTTAATCATAGATCCATTTTGTATTAACTTTTTATTTCCTGATTCATAGAATCAAGTTAATCAACATTTTGGTGTTAAAGTCTCAATGCATTTTATCAATTCCTGATTCATAGAATCAACACTTCCAATTCTGTGTCCACCACCTTCTTCAAGTCAGTTGCCCTAAGAACCACTTTTTTTTTTTCTATTCTGCTGAGAGCCTCTATTAGGCAAGGTTTAAAATGTCGATGTCGATGGAAATGTCGCTTACCAAAATGTAGGACATATGTCGGAAATGTCGGAAATGTTGAGGGGAAATATTGTAAAAATTAGAGACATTGTGGAAATATGCAAAGATATTTTGTAAAATGATAAAATAAGCATTAATACATATTTCTAGACTATTATCTTATTCCCAACCATTATATAAAGCTAAGAAACTAAG